TGGCTGATCCCACTTCGGGACCAGTCACTGCTCGCTACACTACTACGCTTCCGTGCCCGGCTGTTCCCTCCAATTCTCGCCAGCCACCCACGTCGACAGTCTCGCCAGCCACCCACGTCCTTCTGGCGAGACTGCGGTTTGTGTCGACGGGGACACGTACGCGCCTCTGGCCACCTTTACCGCTGAGCCGGGCTCTGGTCTCTACACACTTCACACTGGCCCCCACGGGCAGCAGCAGCAGCAGCAGCAGCAGCAGCTACTGCCCCCGACCCCTGTCACTGCCCCCCGTCAGGTTCCCGCGTCTCACCAGGTTGCCGCCGTTCCCCAGGTAGCTGTGTCTGGTCAGGTTCCAGTGTCTGGTCCAGTTGCTGCGTCGTGCTCCTGCCGGTCTCTTGCCCATCCCACCGTTATGTGGCACCATCGGATAGGGCACCCATCCATTCCTCGCCTGCGTGCTATGTCTAGTCAGCGTCTTGTCTTAGGCCTCCCGCGAGTCTTGCCGTCGCTGCCGCCTTTGCTTGCACCACCGTACGGTCCTGGCGTCGAGGGTCGGCTGCGCACCACCCCTCACTCCTCCTCCCTTCGTCCGGCCACCGAGCCCTTTGAGACTCTCCACTTGGACGTCTGGGGCCCCGCCTCTCGCCCTGGCCCTGAGCGAGAGAGTTTCTTTCTGGTGGTCGTTGACGACTACCCTCGTTACACCACAGTGTTCCCCTTGGCGAAGAAGTCTGAGGTGACTTCTACGCTGATCCGGTGGTTACTTACCACTGCGGACACTCATCGTCGTCGTGTCAGCTGTCTTCACTCCGACCGTGGGGGTGAGTTTTGCTCCGGCATTCTCGCTGGATTCTGTCGCGAGCAGGGCATCCGTCAGTCCTAGATGCTTCCAGAGTCCCCATAGGCTTGGTCATGGAGATTGCACGCACCTCCATGATCCACGCCCGTGTGCCCCATTTTCTGTGGCCCTAAGCGGTTCGGTACGCTGCTCACCAGCTGAACCTCTGGCCACGTGTCTCTCGGCCAGAGGCTTCACCGACCAGTCTTTGGACCGGGTCCCCTGGTGCAGCGTCGCGTTTTCGTGTCTGGTGCTGGTTGGCGCTTGTTCGCGACACCTCCGCGGACAAGCTCTCCCCTCGCGCCCTTCCCTGTGTCTTCCTTGGTTTCCCCGTTGGCTCCTCTGACTTCACCTTTTACCACCCCCCCCTTCACTGGTTCTTTGACTCCCGCGACGTTCGTTTTGTCGAGTCAGTCCCCTACTACACCCGGTACCCCTGTCGAGGTCTTTCAGTACCCCCTCCCCCTCTCTTCCCGACTCCCGCCCCCCTTCCTGCCCCTCCGGTACACGCCCCCACCCCTTTGGTCCAGCCCCGTCAGGTGTGTCCCACGCTACCCCTCCCCCCTCGGTAGCCCCTCAGGTGCTGTCCCCTTCCCCACAGTCCTCCTCCAAGCCAACAGCAGACCCTGCGGGAGCTGGTTTTCGTGGCGAGGACCCTAGAGGTGCTAGCTCTAAAGGTGTTGGAGTTGGAGCAGAGAGCGTACTGTCGCGATATATTTTACATATGTTTATAACTGCCTGTAGTTCTAGCTTTCGTGTAGTTATGTTACCTTGCTGTTGGTGGTGCACCTCTTGTTTGTGTTTCTCGACTATATCTTGTATGCTTTGCTTTTAGTGAAACTCACTTGTTTGGTCAATCCTCTCGACCGTCCTTTGGCACAAACTCCTTCGACATCCGCTTGGCCTAGGCTACTAAGCCCTGACTGCAGGAGACTCTAGTCTTCGGGGAGCTGGTGTTAGTGGAGCTGCCCCTGGGGGTGCTGTGACTGGGGGTGCACCCTCTGCCGGACCTGGAGAGCTTGGGACGGGCCCTGTTACTTCTGGTGGTGCTGGCTCTGGGGGTGGTGCGATTGGTGCTTTCGAGACCGGTCCTGGGGCTACCACCGCCCCGGACACTACCCCTCCCCCCCACCCCTATCCGACCCGGCACCAGGCCCATCTTCGCCGTGCCCGTGAGGAGCAGCTGGAGTTGGAGCGAGAGGAGAGAGAGTTGGATCGGCAGCAGCTGGAGCTACAGCGGCTGGAGGAGCAGCAGCAGCAGGAGCAGCAGCAGCAGCCGCAGCTGGAGGAGCAGCAGCAGCAGGAGCAGCAGCAGCAGCCGCAGCTGGAGGAGCAGCCGCAGCAGGAGCAGCCGCAGCGGCAGCCGACTGCAGCAGCAGCAGCAGCAGCCGCAGCTGGAGGAGCAGCGGTTGCAGCCGCAGCAGGAACAGCAGCAGCTACCACCTCCTCCTCCTGTCTCTGGTCTTCGGACCCTCGGTCTCCCCTCTCCCTCTCCTCCCTCCTCCCCCTCTCCTCCCGTCTCTGGTCCTCCGCTTCCTCCTCCTGACCCCTCCCCAGCTGTTTTCCCTCGTTCTCAGCCTCCGTTGTCCCCTCCTCTTTCTCACACTTGGGCCTCTCGTCGCTCTCCTCGTGCTCGTCCCTCGTCCCCTGTCCCTCTCACTGACCTTCGTACTGTCCTGTTCCGTACTACCGCACGTACCGTCCTGTTCTCTCTCGTGTTCTCGCCTCTCTTGTTACGGACCATCGTGCCTCTCTGTCTTTTGTGTCCGCTCTTACTGCCGCAGTCACTGAGTTTGCCTCTACTCGCCGCCTTGACTACGCCACCAGTCTTGTGGCTGCTCCTCCTACCAGTCCTCTGGCCGTCGGGGGTGAGTTTGCCCTTGGCTTTGACGCCCTAGTTGACAGGCAGTTTGAGCTAGATTTCCCGGCGGCCGCTTCCCCTCATCTCTGTGCCATGCTGCTCGCTCCTGAGGGAGACCCCGACGCCCTTGACATACCGACTCCTTGCACTTACGCTGAGGCAGTGTTAGGGCCTTGGGCCTCTCAGTGGAGAGCTGCCATGGACGCAGAGATGGCCTCCTACAGGTCCACAGGCACTTACGTTGACGAGGTTCCCCCCACCCAGGGGCGAACGTAGTCGATGGCATGTGGATCTTCATGGTGAAGCGGCCACCGGGATTTCCTCTTGTCTTCAAGGCACGCTACGTGGCTAGAGGTTTCAGTCAGCGTGAGGGAGTTGACTTCTTTCAGACCTTCGCGCCTACCCCGAAGATGACCACTCTTCGGGTGTTACTGCACGTAGCAGCACAGAGAGACTACGAGTTACACTCTCTCGACTTCTCTACTGCTTTCCTTCAGGGTAGCCTACACGAGGAGGTCTGGCTGCGTCGTCCCTCTGCCTTCACTGGCACTTTCCCTCTTGGGACCCAGTGGAGGCTGAGGCGACCGGTTTACGGTCTCCGTCAGGCTTCTCATGAGTGGTTTTCGTTCTACCCTGTCTGACCTCGGTTTCCAGCCGTCTTCTGCCGACCCGTCGCTGTTTGTTCGTCGTGGCTCCACACCGTTCTTTGTTCTGGTCTACGTCGACGACCTGGTTTTCGCCACTGCTGACAGGGTTGCTTTGGCTGACGTAAAGCGCGAATTGTAGAAGAGACACACGTGCACTGACCTTGGTGAGCTGCACCACTACCTTGGCCTGCAGATCACCAGGGACAGAGCCGCTCGCACCATTACACTCTCACAGTCACACATGGTGCAGCAGGTCCTCCAGCGGCTCGAGCTTCAGCACTCCACAGTACAGCGCACACCTCTTGCTGTTGACCACAGACTCACTGGACCCATCCCTGACGAGCCGTTTGAGCCTAGTGGTCCTTACGCAGAGCTTGTGGGCTGCCTCATGTACCCGATGACTTGTACTCGCCCGGAACTCGCCTTCCCCCTCAGCATCCTTTCTCGCTTTGTTGTGCCAGGGAGACACCGTCCTGTTCACTGGACAGCAGCTGTGAGGGTGGCGAAGTACCTAGCGATGACATCAGGCGTGGGGCTAGTTCTTGGAGGGCAGCAGTCTGTTGTACTTACTGGACATTGTGACTCTTCTTACGCTGACGACGCCGAGACTCACAGGTCTACTGAGGGGTACTGCTTCAGCCTAGGCTCTGGAGCTGTTTCGTGGAGGTCCACACGTTCCTCCTCGGTCTCGACCTCTACTGCTGAGGCCGAGATCTACGCTGGAGCCATGGCTGCACAGGAGCTGCGTTGGTTGACCTTCTTGCTCACCGACCTTGGTGAGCGGCCGAGCTCTGCACCGACCTTGTTCACTGACAACAAGGCGTCGATTCTCCTCTGTCGAGAGCCGCGACTGGAGAGCAGAGTGAAGCACATCAACGTCAGGTACTTTCTTCTGCGAGAGTTGCAGAGGCGTGGACAGGCTCGCTTCGACTTTGTGGAGTCCGAGGCCAACACTGCAGACATCTTCACCAAGGCGCTTCCGCCTTGTGACCATCAGAGGTGTTGTGTGCACTTAGGTTTCGTTGACACAGGTTCTCGTCTTGCGTAGACTTGAGTTCTCTGCTTGCTTTGTTTGTACGCTTTATATATACCTCTGTGAACTCTTGGACTGGCCTTGTGGCTCTTTTGCTTGTGCTCGGAGTGTGTGGTGACGTTGTGATCCACCCTGAGCTTTGTTTCTTTGTGACTGGTCTTGTGACCGTACACTTTTGGTTTTGCTTGACACCCCTCACTTAGACTATGGGGGTGTGTCAAATGTTGTAGTCTTAGTGATGTGTGTTATAGGGGGTACAACTGGTAGGGTTAGGCTTATGTACCTTCAATCAACCTTAGTCATACCAACACTTTCATTCTTAAAGCTTTTGTATACATTTGAAAGAGAAAGGTTCAAAACTTTTGAAATTTGAAATTTTGGTAACCCCATTACTGCTAGTTCACTCGCTGAACGAGGGAGGGAGATCTCCCTGACACCCAGCACTCGCTGGTGATTCAAAACTTTTGGGTCGACAAAAGTATACGAAATCCAGCCTATGTGAGATCTACGCCACTGCGCTCTACAGGTAGCATAATATGTAGCTAAGCACATCGCGACTCAACAGCCAGCGCAAATTACCCCCGTTTCCGACACAAACCTAGACGCGTGGGGCAGTTTAGTGTAATGATAGAGATAAACCAACGTCAGTTCCGCCCTCTCACGCGGCTATCCCGGGGGACCTCCTCTCACAGCCTCGCCTCGTCGTCCGTCGTGTCGCCACACGACGCTGCCTCCTCACGCCACCGTGAACGCGCACAACTCGTCTAGAACTGCCGAACACGCACGATCACAGTCGCGGCCCGATCGCACAGCCTCGCTACCACGTTTCTGCACTAGCCCCGGCAGCCGCACTTGAGTGCGCGAACGACTGCAGAAACGGGAGCTTCCAGCCCCTTCCCGCCTCCTCGTTTCCCTTCGCGCCACCCCAATTCACGTTCCCTCCTCCCCGTTTCCCCTTTCCGCTCTCCATTACCCCTTCCCGACTCCCCGTTTCCCCTTCCCGCCTCCCCGTTTCCCCGTCCCGTTCCCGTTTCCCCTTCCCGCCTTCCCGTTTCCCTCTCCCGCTCCCCGTTTCCCCTTCCCGCCTCCCCGTTTCCCCTTCCCGCTCCCCGTTTCCCCTTCCCGCTCCCCGTTTCCCCTTCCCACTTTCCCGTTTCCCCTTCCCGCCTCCCCAATTCCACCTTCCGCCACCCCGTTTCCCCTTCCCGTCTCCCCATTTCCCCTTCCCGCCTCCCCGATTTTCCTTCCCGCTCCCCGTTTCCCCTTCCCACCTCCCCGTTTCCCCTTCCTGTCTCCCCATTTCCCCTTCCCGCCTCCCCGATTTTCCTTCCCGCTCCCCGTTTCCCCTTCCCACCTCCCCGTTTCCCCTTCCCGCCGCCCCAGTTCCCCTTTCTGTCACCCCGTTTCCCCTTCCCACCTTCCCGTTTCCCTATCCCACTCCCCATTACCCTTTCCCGCCTCCCCGTTTTCCCTTCTCTACTCCTCAATTCCCGTTCCAGCCTGCTCATTTCCCCTTCCCGCTCCCCGTTTCCCCTTCCCACCTCCCTGTTTCCCCTTCCCGCTCCCCATTACCCCTTCCTGCCTCCCCGTTTCCCATTCCCGCTCCCCATTACCCCTTACCGCCACCCCATATCCCCTTTCCGCCTACCCATTACCCCGTTTCCCCCCTTTCTTCCTCTCGTTTCTCCCCCTCTCCCTCTCGTTTACCCCCCTTCCCCCTCTCATTTCCCCCCCTTCTCCTCCTTGTTTTCCCCGCTTCTCCCTCTCATGTCCCCCCTGTCCCCTTCTCATTTCCCCCCATTCTCCCTCTCATTTCCCCTCATGCTCCCCATCATTCCCCCCCTTTCCCCCTCTCGTTTCCCTCCCATTCACCTGCTCATTTCCCCCCTTTCTCCCTCGCTCTCCCCCCCCCCCCTGCTCCCTCTCATCTCCCCCCCTCCTCCTTCCCGTTTCCCCCCCTTCTCCCTCTCATTTCCCCCCCTTCTTCCGCTCATTGCCCCCCTTTTTCCTTCTCATTTCCATCCGTTCTCCCCCTCATTCCCCCCATGCCCCCCCTCATTCCCCCCATGCCCCCCCTCATTCCCCCCATGCCCCCCCTCATTCCCCCCATGCCCCCCCTCATTCCCCCCTTTTTCTCCCTCTCATTTCCCCCCCTGCTCCTTGTCATGCCCCCCCTTTCTCCCGCTCATTTCGTCGCCTATCGAGAGGCCCCGCCTCCCGAAAGTAAGCGACAAGAGGCGGCACTAAAACTGCCGGTCCGCCATAAGTCTCTCCTCGCCCCCCGCCGCTCGTCATCGCGAGGGAAGGCACCATCGCACGATCGTCGCTTGTCGCGTTGCCCAGTGTGGCATCGCCCTGCCTCACAGGTTCCATGCAATGCATTACCCTTCCCCTCCCTGCATTACCCTTCCCCTCCCTGCATTACCCTTCCCCTCCCTGCATTACCCTTCCCCTCCCTGCATTACCCTTCCCCTCCCTGCATTACCCTTCCCCTCCCTGCATTACCCTTCCCCTCCCTGCATTACCCTTCCCCTCCCTGCATTACCCTTCCCCTCTTTTTCACGATCCTCCTGCCTTTCCCTCTTTTCCCCTCTCCTGCTGCCTTCTCTCTTTTCAGCTCTCTTCCTAACTTTCCCTCATTTCCCCTCTCTTCCTGCCCTTCCCACTTTTCTGCAATCTTCCTGCCTTTCCCTCTTTTTTCCTCTCTTCCCCATCTCCCATTCCTGTCACCAAACCTCTGCGTCCTACCTCCTTATCATCCGTTCCGGCCTCTCCACCTTTCCACCTGTTTTCCCATCTCTCCTCCCTTTGTTACCGCTTCGAGCAGGACAAGTTCAGGTTCAGCAGAGTTAGGCAGCTTATTGGGAGCAGCATCAGACACAAGTGTTGAAAAAATTATGACCAGCAAGAGCAGATGACAACCCTCCATGTATCTTGAGTTGTGTACAACACATGTCACATGTCGCATACAATGCTGTGATGTGCCCATATGCATCATGCAAGGATGCTGTACGCAAAGAAGGGAAGTTGTTTCTAGGTACAGTCATCAACATATTGAATAAACTGATGTATTATGGCATGCTATCAATTCAGTTGATTGATACGCTAAGAGCACACACAAGCTGGAACTTTCTGCCTATTTATTCGGTTTCACTAAGCTGCAAAGAGCAGCACTCAGAATGAGAAGGCCGGGTGTCCTTCGTGCTGTTGAAAAAAAAAAAAAAAAAAAAGCGAACAAAAAAAAAATACAGACAAGGGCAAGCTGCAGAAGAAACAGAGGGGTAAGCTGGAGGTGAATGGAGGGGAAGCAAAGGGGGAGCAAGGGTTGCATGGAGGGAAGTAAAGAAGGGTAGGCAAAGGGGGGAGGAGGGGAAGGAATGTGCAGCATGTGAGGGCGCTGCAGCTCCCTCACCCGTGCCAGCAGCATGAGCGCACTCACCTGCCGGCAGGGTGGGGGCAGGGAAGGGTAAGGAAGGCAAGGGAAGGGCATGGCAGGGCAGAACAACGTGTGAAGAGAGGAGAGGGAGAGAGCCATGTAGGGAAGATATACAGCAGTGGTGACATGGTAACACGTGAGAGGCTTGAACTCAGTGGGTGGTGGGAGGTGCAAAGCTGATTGTGTGACAACTGGAGAGCTGACGAGCGCATTCGTGAGCAGACGCGGCAACATAAGAGCAAGGGCGGATTACTCCAGCGCAAACGATTTGTCCCTCTATGCCTGTGTGCGCCGCACACAGTTTTGCACTCACCCGGACCCTCCTCGAGGGAAATGGGGGGAAGGAGGGGGGAAATGAGGGAAAGGAGAGGGAAAAATGAGGGGAGGAAGAGGGGAAAATAAGGGGAGGGAGGGGTAAAGGAGGGGAAGGAGAGAGGGAGAGGAGAGGACGGATAAGGGGAAATGTGGGAAACGAGAGGTGGGGATTTTGTGGAACGAGAGGATGAAATGAGGGGGGAGGGGGAAACGAGGGGACGGAGTAGGGGAAATGCGAGGAACGAGAGGGGGAGATGAGGGTAAGGAAAGATTGAATGAGGGGAAGGAGGGCGAAATGAGGGGAAGGAGAGGGGAAAATGAAGAGGGAGAAAGGGGGGAAGTGAGGGTGAGCAGGGGGGGAAGTGAGGGTGAGCACGGGGGGAAATGAGAGGGAGCAGGGGGGGAAATGAGAGGGGGAAACGAGAGGGGGAAAGGGGGGGAAACGAGAGGAAGGAGGGGGGGAAATGAGAGGGAGAAGGGGGGAAAACGAGAGGCGGAAGGGGGGGAAAGGAGAGACGGAAGGGGGGAGAACGAGAGGGAGAAGGGGGGGAAACGAGAGGGAGGAGGGGGGGAAATGAGAGGCGGAAGGGGGGGAAAGGAGAGACGGAAGGGGGGAGAACGAGAGGGAGGAGGGGGGGAAACGAGAGGGAGGAGGGGGGGAAATGAGAGGGAGAAGGGGGAAAATGGGAGGGAGAAGTTGGGGAAATGAGAAGAGAAGGAGGGGAAACGAGAGGGGGAAGGGGGGGAAACGAGAGGAAGGAGGGGGGAAATGAGAGGGAGAAGGGGGGGAAACGAGAGGCGGAAGGGGGGAAAAGAGAGGCGGAAGGGGGGAGAACGAGAGGGAGAAGGGGGGGAAACGAGAGGCGGAAGGGGGGGAAAGGAGAGGCGGAAGGGGGGAGAACGAGAGGGAGGAGGGGGGGAAACGAGAGGGAGGAGGGGGGGAAATGAGATGGAGAAGCGGGGGAAACGAGAGGCGGAAGGGGGGAAAATGAGAGGCGGAAGGGGGGGGGGGACGAGAGGGAGAAAGGGGGGAAACGAGAGGGAGGAGCTCCGGGAAATGAGAGGCGGAAGGGGGGGAAATGACGAAATGGGTTATGAGCCGAGCAGCGCGTGAGGCGAGTTCTGTGCCGATTCGCAGGTGAGGCATGCGGCGGGTGAGGCGAGAAGCGGGGGACGCGCTAAACGGATTTCGTGAGTACCGTGTTTGGCGAGGAGCGGGTATCGCAATCAGCGGGTTTCACGATCAGCGGGTTTCGCGATCAGCGGGTTTCGCGATCAGCGGGTTTCACCATCAGCGGGTTTCGCCATCAGCGGGTTTCGCCATCAGCGGGTTTCGCGATGCATGATGGCGCTAGGCGAGAAGCCCGCAGGGTGGAACGCGACGGCTCACTGAATAATTTATCGCTGGTTCGACGATTGCATCGCGCCGAGCCAGCATAATGCAACTCGTCGAGGCGCTCGTCGTGTGCCGCATGGCATCGCTCGACGAATGCTACGCGGCGGCCCATCCGAATGCAAACCGCCCCTGCAGCTAAAGGCTTTTGTATAGCCCCGTGTCCCCTTACCACGGGCGATTAGGTCAGGGTGAGTAGTTGCGCTGCTAGTTCTATCAAGGCCTTTCGTAGTAATTAATTGCTTTCACTTGTGATTGTGTGTGTCGCTCAAGGGTTGGGTGACGAGAGAGTTTCTCGTGTTCCCACCCCTCAATCCTCAAAATTTTCGCAACCCCTCTCGCCAAGCCCCTTTCTTTTCGTTGGGGCGAAATCTTGGTGGCTACTGTTCCACCACAAACAGTACTTTCAAATGTATACGAAAGCTCTAACATACCGTATGGCCCCGGATATAGGCGCATATGCGCTTATAATAAGTTCATTTTTTTTAGGGGGGGCGCTTGTAATTAACGGCCATAAGCGCCGGCGCTTATATAATGACAAATACGAAATTATATATTTAGAGCACCAAATTGTTCATTTCTTCTTGCCATTTCAACCGAGTCGAAATGTTTTAGCGTCACAAAGCAGAATCTCGCGCAAGTGATATTCTGGGTGCGCACACAGGCAAAGACACGTCATGCCAGCACATCCTGACTGGACGCGCAGCCAGTCAGGTCTTTCGCGAGTCAAATGAAGCGAAATTGAAGTCTGACTCGCTGCAAAAATGAATTTCGTTACCGTTTTAAGCAAGGATTTAAATTAATATTACACTTGCGCTTATAATTAGTACGGTAAAGGTTTTCTAGGGGGGGCGCCTATAATTGAGGAGCGGCCATAAGCGCCATGCTCCAGATATAAGCGCCGGCGCCTTTAATAGGACGGCGCCTATATTCGGGGCCATACGGTAAGTCCACTTGAAAGTCAAAGGGCTGCCAGTTTTTACTGTACCGGTATATCGGTACTTCAGCCAAAAGAGTATTGCTCCCCTCCCCACCCCACCCTTGTTGCAAATGTTGATGTCAGAGGCCTTGGTTGAACATCTTGTGCACCACTTGTCATGCTCCGCTCTCTGCACACGTCATGGAGTTGCTGGTACCGTACAGATGCTACTAGGCTTTGTCTGTGGGCCTGTAGGCAGATGTTTTCAAGGCAATACCGTACCGTACCTGTGTTTCTGTTCTGTTGATACCCAAACATTCTTTACAGCCCAATATTCCCTTGGTCTGTTTGAAATCTTGGGTGTGTGTTGGTGATTGACTGGAAACAATAAATACATAAAACAATCAGGGACAAGAATAGAGACATGGCGGATGGTTAGCAGAGACGATCAGCAGCCTATCCCCGACCACATCCATGGCTGGGTGCAGCAGCCCATTCACCCGCCTGCCCACCACCCCCACCAGCCTCCGCTCCTCCACTGTCTCCCCCTCGCACCTCGCACTGCCCACTCCACCACCACCACCACCACCGCACTCCATGGCCCTCGCAATGCTGTCCTGCCCCCCTTCACCCTCCCGCCCATCCACACCCTCCTCTGTTTCATACCCCTCCTCTCTTCCACAACCGCTCTCTTGTCCCTGCCCCCCCTCACTGCCGGGTGTGCCCTCAGACCCCTCAGCAGCACTGCTGTGCCATGCCTGGGGACGAAGCACCACACCTGCTTCTTGCTCCGCCCCTCCGCTCTCTCTCCCCGTCACCGCCGCACCGCACTCAACCGCTCTCTGCACAGGGGCTTGCGTGTCCGCTCCTGCCACTCCTGCCAATGCACTCCCACACCTGTCTCTACCTCTCCTCCCCTGCCCTGCCCTTTGCTGCAGGTAACCCCGCTCCCGCACCTCATACCCCACATCCCCGCCTGCACCCCTGCCTGCCCCCGCTCCTCCACCCTTCTGCGCCGCCCGGTGCAGGCGAAACACGTGCACGCCGCCCGCATGCAGCGCAAACAGCCGCCCGGCGTGCACGCGCACGGCGAGCAGCGGCCCTCTGCTGGCGCGCGGCACGTGCGAGTCCAGGTGGTAGCGCTCAACCTCCCGCCCCGTGCTGCACTCTATGCGCTGCGGGGTGAGGGCAGGGGGTGGGGGGGAGGGTCGGGACCTGAGCTGAGAGAGTAGGAGGGGGCGATGGAGGGGAGGCAGAGAGATGAAATGCTACTTGCAGTGGACGAAGGAGTTGGCCCACATGCTCTCATCTTCTCACCCACGTGCACTCACCTGCACGGCGGCAAAGTCTTCATGTGGCAGCGAGGGCAGCGCCACAAAGAGAGACGTGCCGGCGAAACACATGGCGTCTGGCACAGTGCACGGTGGGGGGGGGTGGACAGGTGAGCAGATGGCGATGAGTGGTGGGCGGGGATGAGTGGTGGGCGGGGATGAGTGGTGGGCGGGGATGAGTGGTGGGCGGGGATGAGTGGTGGGCGGGGATGAGTGGTGGGCGGGGATGAGTGGTGGGCGGGGATGAGTGGTGGGCGGGGATGAGTGGTGGGCGGGGATGAGTGGTGGGCGGGGATGAGTGGTGGGCGGGGATGAGTGGTGGGCGGGGATGAGTGGTGGGCGGGGATGAGTGGTGGGCGGGGATGAGCAGGGGGCGGGGATGAGTGGTGGGCGGGGATGAGTGGTGGGCGGGGATGAGCAGGGGGCGGGGGTGGAGAATGGCAGGTTCTTGATGGCACGGGGCGAGCAGACGGCTCAAGATGCTGCAGCCAATGCATGTGCCGCATCCATCGATGTGCAAGATTCTTGCATGTGCAGCACACGTACACGTGCAAGATACATGCACATGCAGCATGCGAGGCAAGGCGAGGGCAGGAGAGGGGGTGACCTGGGGGGCGGGCGTGGGAGGAGGGGATGCGGTGGAGGATGACAGCCGGCGTGCTCCAGTCCGCCAGATACACCGCACTCTCCGATGCCACGGCACACGTCACCCCCTCGCCCCTCCTGCCATGCCGTGCAGCCATGTCACAGTCACACCGTGAGACAGGCAAGCTGATAGGAGAGCATGGCAGCAGGGAGGGAAGGCAATGAGAAAAACGAGAACGGGATGTGGAGCAGCAGCGATGGATGCAGCAGTGAGGGGAAGCACTGACAGCGAGGGGAAGAGGCGTTTGTTGCAGCGCCGCCCCGGCATGACAGCAACGGCACAGACGCGCTCAGCCTCGCCCCACGGGTCCAGCAGCTGCACGTGGTGGAACAGCACTGCCTCGCCGCCCGCCACGTGCCACAGCCCCACGCTGCCGCCCTCCTCCACCACGACGAGGCGCTCCTCGTCCAGCCAGAGCAGCGGCGCACAGCACGCCATGCGCTCCACCGCACCCTCCGTCTGCATGCTCACCGCCACCCCCCCGTCCCGCACGTCCCAGATGCGCACGTCGCTGCCGCCCGCCTGCACCATCGCGAGCGCCGCCCCGCATGGCGCGGCGTGCCACTCGGGCGGCGCGAGGTGCTTCCAGGATGGCGGCGCGGGCGGCGGGGGGTGGGTGGGTGGGTTGGGCGGGGAGGGGAGTGGGGACGGGTGCGGAGATGGGGCGGGGAGGGAGGCGGGTTGGGGGGTTGGCGGAGTGAGGGAGGGGGTCTCAAAGGCGGGTGGAGTGAGCGGCACTTTGCCACTGGGTGCAGCAGCGGTGTGCTGTTGTGTGAGGCGCCCGTGGATGGGTGCAGGTTGCAGTGGGCAGCACTGGTGTGCCGCTCTTGAGTGCAACTCAAGACTGCGCTCCTCTGCTACGCACCTCCTCTCCGCATGCTCGCCTGCACTTGCACACTCCGTGCTGGCCTGCTCCACTGCACTGCCTCTGAACCTGCAGCCTGCCACCTGCAGTGCGCCATGGCCTGACGCCAGCCTGCCACACCCATGTCCTGCTACATCTGTATGAGGCAACGCTGCTAGCGCGCTGCCATGGTGAAACGGGGCAGGGGAGGGTGGTGACGGCATGGCCGAGGGCCTTGCTTGCGGTGCGCGCACTTCCCCTTGTGCTGTTGCGGTTCCTGTGGCCGTTTCTTGTGCGCCTGCTGGCTTAGGCGCAGCAGCAGTAGGGGAAGCGGCGGGGGCAGGGGAGGCAGGAAGGACGGGGGGGACAGTGGGGAGGGGTGCGTGGGGCAGTGGTGAAGTGGCATGGGGTGGCGAGTGGCTGCGGCAGGTCGAGTGGTGCGGCGGTGGCTGACGGGGGGAGGACGAGGGGCAGCAGGCGAATGGCATGTGGCATACAGGCGAGGGGTGGGAGGAGGGGCAGGGAGAGGACAGTGGAGGGCAGTTTGCCGCTGTAGCAGTGGGTGCTGGTGGTGATGCTGCTGCTGGTGGGAATGGTGCCGAGGGTTCACCACGCATGTGGATGGAAGTGGCAGGGGCGGCAGCAGCACCATCGCCCAGTGCAGCAGCGGCACCCGTGCGAGTGCGTGTGCCACTGGGAACGTGACTATTCGCGGGCGAGGACTCCGGTGAGCGCACAGGTGAGAGCGCAGGCGAGGGCGCAGGGGAGGGCGCAAGTGAGGGCGAGGGCGAGGCAGTGGGGTTGGGAGGGGGGAAGCAGGAGACGAGGCGGGAGGAGAGGAGGTCCCAGCAGCAGAAGGCGGCGTGCAAGCGCGACGTGGCGAGCAGTAGGCGCGCTGTGAGCCCATCGTGGGACGGCACCGCCACCACGTGACACGCTGCCGGCTCTCCCAGCTGCACCCCTGGTGGTGGCCGGAACGATGCTCGCTGCTGATGGTGGTGACGCGGGTTGTGGTGTGGTGGGGCATGAGAGAGAGGACAGAGAGTGAGAGGAGAGGGGACAGATGAGAGAGAGGGAGAGAGAGGGGGAAGAGAGAGGGGTGTTCCAAGAATCAACGTGGTGGTGGTGTGGTGGTGGTAGTGCCTCACGTGCATTGCACTGTACTGCATTGCCACTCCACCTCCACTACCTCCCCCACCCCCTGCCAACCCGCCTTGTCACCACCCGTCCGCCCATTACCTGCAGAGTGCTCGAGTCCAGCAACACGCAGCACCCATCCCAACCTGCCAGCACCACACACTCCCCATCGCTCCCCACGAATCGGCCCGCGGGGTAAATTCCCCTTCCACCCATCCATAGTCCCTCTTCGTCCCCACATCCCCCACCTGCCCCTTCGCCCTCCACCCTCCCTCCGCCACTCTCACACTTCTTCCCCCCCAGCGCCATTCTCCCCAGCTCTGCTCCCCCCAGCGCCGCTCCCCGCACGCCTGTTTCCGCAGCCTCCTGCCACCCGCACTGCACGGGTTGTGGGCGGAAGCGCGGCGAGTCCTGCGCGGAGCAGGGGCGCTCGCAGTCCGACTCGTCGTCCGAGTCGAACCGCCAGCTGCAGAAGCGACACGCGCACGCGCCGCGACGTGCTGCATCAGGGTGCGTCGCCTGCCCGTCCGCCTGCCGCGCGGCCTCCGCGTCGCGACCGCAGTCGCCGCTGCTGCCCATGGGCTTCTCGCCACCCGCCGCGATGTCCGTGCGTGCTGCCGCTGCGCCAGCGCAGTTGTCGTCGCGACCTCGCTGCCCCGCCTGCAGCTGGGCCTGCTGGGCCCGGCGGGTCTTGGGCGAGCGCGCGGGGGAGTGGCAGCACGGCGAGCGACGGCGGACGGCCTGATTGCGTGCCGCTTGTGGTCGCCACGCCTCGTGGTCGCACGGTGACGCGTCGCGCTCGCATGTTGGCGCGCCGTGCTCGTTTGCTGACGCGCCGTGCTCGTTTGCTGACGCGTCACTGACGTTGACGAGCTGATTTCGACGCGGCTGAGCGCCTTCAGCAAAGCAAGGTGATTCGTGCGATGCGCAATCGCGGAGCGTCACTCGTGGCACTGCAGCTTCTCCTTCCTCGTTGGAGTCTCGCCTTCGCCGCTTCATTCGCAGACGGGCTGAATTGCTTTTGGCTCCGAGTGTTGTGGTCGCTGTAGCTATGTGCCCCCCTACTAGCGTATGCACCGCACCGCATCATGTGGCTGGTCGTGCGCGGAGGTGCTGCTGTCGTGCAAGGTGTCAGCCGCTTGTTGTGGAAGGCCTTGAGGGAGCGACAGGAAATACTTGCCATTAGCGAGCCATACGCGATAACCGAGAGAGAGCAGTGTAACAACTGAAAGAAGCAATGTTAGGAGTTGTGAAAGAGAAGAGTGCGCAGAATTCAATAACGCAGCGAGGCCTAGAACTAATATAGCAAGTCCTAGCTAGGCCGAGGTCGCGGGGTCGCGAGATGGTTGGGTGCAGGTTCGGGGTTGGAAAACTCGAAGGCGACGCGATGGTGGTTCGGAAGGCGAGGTCGGCGGACCGAGCCTGGTTTTCCGAAAATCGGGGTTGTACGCATACAATAAGACCCAGTAAGGAATCCGAGAAAATTCCTTACACTACCCCCACCCCCCCCCCCCCTTAAGAAAGGTGGTGAATATCCGAGACACCTCGGCGGGCCAGGTAAGCATCCACAACCGGATGTCCCTGTAGCGAGTCAGCCACGATGTACGTGTCGTCCTCGCTCGTGCGCTCTTTCCAGCGAAGCAGGAACGTGACCATGCGGCCGGCGGCCGTCACCTCCACGCGATGGTTCAAAATCTTCCAAGGCTCGAGCGTGGGTTCAGCCACGGGGCGTGTGGTCGGCGCGATGGTTGGCCGAGCGACAGCTGGCGATTGCGGTTGATCGTAGTGGCGCAGCAGGCTGACGTGGAACGCGTCATGGATCCTCCTGTCGTCGGGTAGCAACAGCTTCGCGGTGACAGGTGTCACCATCTGAACGATTCAAAATGGTCCAACGTATCGTGGCCGTAATTTCGCTGGCTGCGGAAGTCGAAGGTTTTTGTGTCCAAGAGGACGACTTGCCCAGTACGAAAGGGTAAATGCCGTCGGTGCTTGTCCGCCTGTCGGCTGGCCGTAGTATTAGCTTTACGGATAAAATCGGCTGCTTTTTTGCGGACTGTCTGTAGTTCCGTGACAAACTGCTGCGATCGTGGTACCGGGTTGTCCACAGTCGTTGAAGAGGGTACCACGGGGTCTATCCCGTAATTCAGGTAGAAGGGCGATTGTATAGTCGTAGCCGAGGGGGCGTTGTTATACGCGGATTCCAGCATCGGCAGCGAGTCCTCCCACTTGCGAAGGTCCGGGCAGTTGGTGCGAATCAGCTGCTCCATTGTTTGATTTGTCTGTTCTGTCTGTCTGCCGGTTTGCGGGTGGTATGACGACGAAAACTGCAGGCGGGTGCCGTACTGTGCCTGTCAAACATTGCATGTTTATATTGTCTAGGCTGTAGTGGGTTACACCTTAGGGGGTACACAAAGTTAGGGTTTCCTACTTGTACCAAACTCTGTTCTAGTTCATTCATTCCTGCTCAGTTATTCTGACATGGTTTCAGAGCAGGTCCTTCGCTAGGACTGTTCTCAGGGCCCACCGTACGATACCTACCTACCTACCTACTTACCGGAGCGCGTTCTTAGCGTCTACCCCGTAGCGCCCTCGCGAGCGCTACCTTTTTTTTCCCGGCCCCGCTGGCCCCGTCGATTGCGATCGCACCTACCGGCCCCGTTGGCCCTCTAGCGAACCGCCCGCGCACCGCCCGCGAACCGCCCGCGAACCGCCCGCGAACCGCCCGCGCGGCCTGCGCGCCGCCCGCGAACCGCCCGCGAACCGCCCGCGAACCGCCCGCGAACCGCCCGCGAACCGCCCGCGAACCGCCCGCGCGGCCTGCGCGCCGCCCGCGAACCGCCCGCGAACCGCCCGCGCGGCCTGCACGCCGCCCGCGAACCGCCCGCTACCCGCTGCCGGCCCGCGCGCTGCTTGCGCGGCCCGCAAGCAGCCTGCTGCCGGCCCGCTGCTGCCGCTAGTGCGCACCCGCAGCCGCCGCCGCACGCACCCGCTGCCGGCCCGCCGCTGCCGCCCGTACGCACCCGCAGCCGCCGCCGCACGCACCCGCTACCGGCCCGCCGCTGCCGCCCGTGAGCACCCGCAGCTGCCGCCGCACGCCCTCGCCTGCCGGCCCGCCGCTGCCGCCCGTACGCACCCGCAGCCGCCACCGCACGCGCTCGCTGCCGGCCCGCCGCTACTGACTGTCCGCACCTGCAGCCGCCACCGCACGCCGCTACTGCCGGCCTACCACCGCATCCCGTGCGCCCCTGCGACTCCTGCTAGTGCGTCTTTACAGCTACTGCGGCTCTACTTTGTTTACTACTGCTGCTACTGCTACTATCGCTATGGCTAGCCCTCCCGTTCTAGCTTTCGACGCCGAGGGCCGTCCGGTGAAGTTCGACACCTGGCTCGATGACCTACACCTGTTCCTACAGCTCACGGCCAAGGAGGATATTTCTCTGTACGACCATGCTCTCGGCCACGCTACTGCCCCTCTTACTACTGCTACCCCCACTGAGCGCTCACAGTGGCAGACCCGTGACGCGCACGCTCGCTTCGCCATACGCAACTCCCTGCCGCTAGATGAGCGCGAGCACTTCGGCCAGTGCAAGACTGCTAAGGAACTGTACACCGCTGTCGTTGCCCGCTACTCCTCACCCGCTTCTGCCACGCTAGGCCGCCTCACTCTCCCCTACCTGTTCCCCGACCTGGCCTCCTTTCACACTGTCGCAGACCTCATCACCCACCTTAAGACTAGTGAGGCCCGCTTTCGCGCTGCCATGCCTGACGAGTTCCTCGCTAGCAACCCCCCCCCGCTCTGGATCACTCTCTACCACATCGTCACGCGCCTCCCTGACTCTCTCCGCGCAGTCAGGGACCACTTCCTCTCTCGCTCCCCCACCGAGCTCACCGTAGCCCTCCTCGAGAAGGAACTGCTTGCAGCTGAGGCCAGTATCGTCGCTGTAGGCACCTCTCGTGGCGACCCTCGCGGCCCCTTCTTTGAGGGGTGTTCCCCTTCCCCCCTCCTCCCCTCTATCGCCTCTGCTGCTGCTGTCGACCTCCTTGGTGCTGAGAAGGTCGGGACTGCGTCTGCTTCGGGCGGGCGCCGCAGGAGCAAGGGGGGCAGGGGTGGGGGTGGCGGCGGAGGAGGCGGGGGTGGAGGTGGTGGCGGTGGAGGCGCGACTGGGGAGGCTAGTGGCGGTAGTGGGGGAGGTGACAGCAACGGTGGGAGTGGTGGCAGGGGCGGAGGCGGCGGCGGAGGCGGAGGTGGTCGTGGCAGCGGCAGGGGTGGAGGTGGCCGGGGCGGAGGCGGAGGAGGTGGTGGTCGTGGAGGCACGGGCGGAGGCCAGAGTCAGCAGCCTTCCCCGACGCTTCAGGCCGCCCGTGAGTGGTATGCGCAGCGCGGTTTTACCTGCACGTATGTTATTCGCACAGGCGACCGCACTGGCCAGACGTGTGGGAGGCCGCACCAGACGCAGCGCTGCTTCGCGCGCCTCAACGACGCGTGGCGCACCCAGTTTCCTGACGCCACTGAGCTGCCGCGCTGGGCTGATCTGGAAAAGAGGGGTGTTGATATCTGGGCTCTAGACTTTGATGCTATTCTCACTGCCATGTATGCAATGTCTATTAGTGGAGAGGGTGCTCAGTACTTGCGTGTTCCGCCCGACCCGGGCATTCAGGCCAGCCCAGCTGCTGCTCTAGGTGCTAGTGTGTCTGCTCCCACAGGTCCTGCTGCAGCAGCTGCCCTAGGTGCTAGTGCGTCTGTGCCCCCTGGTACTGAGTCGACTGCTGCACTGCACACCTTCACACTGGACTCAGGTGCTTCTCGCTCTTTCTTTCGTGACCGCACTGTCCTTGAGCCACTAGCTCGGCCGGTTGCTGTCTCTCTTGCTGACCCCTCTGGGGGTCCGGTCATTGCGACCTCCTCCACTACACTTCCGTGTCCAGCGGTTCCGTCCGGCACGCTCTCAGGTCTCTACCTCCCCTCGTTCTCTACGAACTTGGTGGCGGGCTGTGCTCTGCAGGACGGGGGTGTTCACCAGTTCACCCCTGCCTACGAGCGTGTGACACATTGCACGTGTGCTCGGACGGGCCGCCACCTGGCTACTTTCACTCGGGAGCCGGGGTCGGACCTGTACACATTGACCACTGAGTCCCCTCAGGTAGCTGCGTCTGCGTCTGCGTCTGCGTCAGGTCAGCTGTCCGCCCCCTGCTCATGTCGCTCTCTGGCGCATGAGACTGTCCTCTGGCACCACCGCCTTGGTCACCCGTCTGTGCAGCGCCTTCGGGCCATGCACAAACGGGACCTTGTTGCTGGTCTTCCCAGGGTGCTCCCTCCCCTTCCCGACTCCCCTGCTCCTGACTGCATTCCCTGTGTCGAGGGGCGGCAGCGCGCCGCTCCTCACTCCTCCTCCTTTCCCCCGACGACTGCTCCCTTGCAGACGCTCCACATGGACGTGTGGGGCCCAGCCCGCGTCCGTGGTCAGGGTCAGGAGAGGTACTTCCTGATAGTTGTTGACGACTACTCGCGCTACACCACGGTCTTCCCCTTGCGCTCCAAGGGTGACGTCCCTGGTGTTTTGATCCCCTGGATCAGCCGAGCCCGTCTCCAGCTAGGCAAGCGCTTTCACTCGGACTTTCCTGTCCTGCGCTTGCACTCTGACAGAGGTGGTGAGTTCGCCTCCGACCTCTTGGCAGCCTACTGTGCTGAGCACGGCATTGAGCAGTCGTTCACGCTTCCGGCCTCTCCACAGCAGAATGGGGTCGCTGAGCGCCGCATTGGCTTGGTCATGGAGGTCGCTCGTACCTCCCTGACCCATGCGGCTGCTCCCCACTTTCTGTGGCCGTTTGCGGTCCGGTACGCCGCGCATCAACTCAACCTCTGGCCCCGTGTCTCCTTGCCGGAGACTTCCCCGACTCTTCGGTGGACGGGAGAGGTTGGCGATGCGTCGCGTTTCCGGGTCTGGGGATCTCGAGCTTTTGTCCGCGACACGTCCGCGGACAAGCTCTCGCGTCGCGCTGTTCCCTGTGTCTTTCTTGGCTTTGTTCCTGACGCGCCTGGATGGCAGTTTTACCACGTCACCTCGCGCCGGGTTCTGGCCTCTCAGGACG